TTCCTTAAAATAATAAAGCTCAACCAAGACACTGAACCTAACCATCCGATTCACTTGGTCGCCTTTCACGATCAACATCAGTAACTCGGGACCGTTTCATGGAATCCCCAAGGGAGCATGGGCTGTGGGGGTAGCCTAGTGAATAAAGCGTTCGCTCGTCACGCCGAAGACTCGGGTTCGAATCCCCACATGGGTACAATGTGTGAAGCCCATTTCTGGTGTCCCCCGCCGTGATGTTGCTTGAATATTGCTAAAAGCGGCGTAAAACCATACTCAGTCAGTCAGTCAGTTTATGGTCTGCAGAACTGCAAATATGCCCTTACAAAGACAACATCATTCAAATACATTTTGAAAGTTTATTGTAATTATTAGACACAAAAATGTCAAATGTCAAACGACGTAATGTGTTGTAAGATTACATCACAACTAACGAGACAACTCGGAACAGACAGAACGTGCAGGGACAACGAGAGAAAGAGGAAGAGAGCAAGCGTAAGATGGTCAATCAACTTTAATGATAATATAGTGATAATAATAATCATAATATGTCAATACTATGGAATGGTAACGAACGACTTCCATCCGTAAATCTTATCTTTTCTTTCAAAATAAAAAATATTTGTAAATATCCATATTTGATGAATAGCAGCCTTGTTTATACTCATAACAGCCAAATATACTGAGGGAAAAAAAAGGGATCACATGAAAGGGCAAGTGTTCCTTTATTTTTTTCCAGGTTTCTTCACAAGCTATGCGATACAACGCTTGTGAAGAAACCTGGAAAAAAATAAAGGAACACTTGTGCTTTCATGTGATCCCTTATTTTTTTACCTCAGTATATATATAGGATTTTACTACCACTGGCATTTTGCACCATGCATGATAAATGCATAGATGCATTCTCCATAACGATACTGAGTGATGTTATGTTATTCATTAGACACACATGATGAAATGTGTCCATGACAAAAACGAGATAAGTAATTTGGTAAATAATTTCCGAAGAAAATACTTCCAACAGAAAATAAGGCAGCTTTACATTTGATACCAATCGTTTAGTTCACAAGATTAATTTTAGTCAAAACTCATAAGGTTTTCTCACTGATGCATTAGCTCCTATAAAGGATGACCCACCTACCACCAACCCTCCAACCCAAAAAATACAATAAAGCAAAACAGAAAGAAAAAAACTTTTAAGGAAAATGATTCCGATCCATTTAAAAACGTTTTCGTCAACACTTTATTAATCTAGGATGTAACTTCTTTAAGTTCTCAGCAACCAGCACGAAGAATAGATACCAACTGAGCACAATTAACCCTTATTTAATCCGCAACTATATTCTGTTGGAAGTTCACTTGATTGTTTGTTCAAACTTGCCTCTGTCCACCCTGCAGTAAAACTGGGTACCTGGTATGATACGATGGTAGTCTGAATTTGAACCTTGAGCGCCTGACAGGCGACCGGTTGTATTCTCCAAAGGGAGTGTTCTGTACTCGTTGACCAGGGGTAATATGTCAGCGCTTTGAGCATGCAATGTACATGGATAAATGCGCAATATAAATGGACTATTATTATTATTATTATTATTATTATTATTGAAACAAATTTACATCGTTACCTCCGACATGTTCTTTACAAAAATCAAATAGGTAACACTCATCAATATTGTTGATCACACCTTTGTTTATATTTTACGTTGTCACGCAACAAACCACGAGTATCACATTCCATCACAACACGAGCAAGCATTCCTGGTTAATTAGTTCCAGCGAGAACACCATACGTACACATATTGGTCTAAAAAATGTTAAAATGTTTATATTATATATAGTCTGTATCCTCATCGGCATTGATACAGTTTGCTTAGATATCAACGCATTGCACACTACTGACATTTCGGCTTTCACCACCACAACACTTAAGATCCACAACGATACACAACACAGTAATATTTTCTCTAGGTGGACCGTCAGCTAAGGTCTCGCGTTCTGAACGTGATTGTTCCGAACAATCTAATGATTGTCTAATTCTGTCTAAACCGATGTCTACATGATCCGTCATTCTGTGTAAACCAATGTCTACGTGATCTTGCACTCCATCCAAACCGATCTCTACTCGATCTGGCACTGTCTAAATCCATGTCTACATGATCAGGTTTTCTATCTAAACCGATTTCTACATGATCCTTCACTCTGTCTAAACCGATCTCTACATGATCCTTCACTCCGTCTAAACCGATTATTACATGATCCTGCACTGTCTAAACCGATCTCTACATGATCCTGCACTCCGTCTAAACCGATTATTACATGATCCTGCACTCTGTCTAAACCGATGTCTACATGATCCTGCACTCCGTCTAAACCGATCTCTACATGATCCTGCACTCCGTCTAAACCGATTATTACATGATCCTGCACTCTGTCTAAACCGATGTCTACATGATCCTGCACTCTGTCTAAACCGATCTCTACATGATCCTGCACTCTGTCTAAACCGATGTCTACATGATCCTGCACTCTGTCTAAACCGATCTCTACATGATCCTGCACTCCGTCTAAACCGATGTCTACATGATCCTGCACTCCGTCTAAACCGATTATTACATGATCCTGCACTCTGTCTAAACCGATGTCTACATGATCCTGCACTCTGTCTAAACCGATCTCTACATGATCCTGCACTCCGTCTAAACCGATCTCTACATGATCCTGCACTCCGTCTAAACCGATCTCTACATGATCCTGCACTCCGTCTAAACCGATCTCTACATGATCCTGCACTCCGTCTAAACCGATTATTACATGATCCTGCACTCTGTCTAAACCGATCTCTACATGATCCTGCACTCCGTCTAAACCGATCTCTACATGATCCTGATCCTGCACTCTGTCTAAACCGATGTCTACATGATCCTGCACTCCGTCTAAACCGATCTCTACATGATCCTGCACTCCTGTCTAAACCGATGTCTACATGATCCTGCACTCCGTCTAAACCGATGTCTACATGATCCTGCACTCTGTCTAAACCGATCTCTACATGATCCGCCATTCTGTCTAAACCGATCTCTACATGATCCTGCACTCCGTCTAAACCGATGTCTACATGATCCGCCACTCTGTCTAAACCGATGTCTACATGATCCGCCATTCTGTCTAAACCGATGTCTACATGATCCTGCACTCTGTCTAAACCGATCTCTACATGATCCGCCATTCTGTCTAAACCGATGTCTACATGATCCTGCACTCCGTCTAAACCGATCTCTACATGATCCTGCACTCCGTCTAAACCGATCTCTACATGATCCGCCATTCTGTCTGCCTGTCCGATTAACATGACCGATGTCTAAAACTGATGCTCATGATCCTGCACTCTGTCTAAAACCGATCTCTACATAATCCTGCACTCCGTCTAAACCGATGTCTACATGATCCGCCATTCTGTCTAAACCGATGTCTACATGATCCTGCACTCCGTCTAAACCGATCTCTACATGATCCTGCACTCCGTCTAAACCGATGTCTATATGATCCTGCACTCCGTCTAACCCGATCTCTACATGATCCTGCACTCCGTCTAAACCGATCTCTGCATGATCCTGCACTCCGTCTAAACCGATCTCTACATGGTGCGACGCTCAGTTTACATCCATCTTTCCATGATCATGCTATATCTATCTAAACTGATCTGGCGCTCTGTCTAAATCCATGTCTACATGACAATGCTATGTATCTAAACCGATCTCAACATGATAACGCTCTCGTCTAAAACGATCTGTCTATGATCCGGTATTTGGTAAAATATGATATGGCTGAAATACTGGCGATGTGACTAAAAATCTTAACTGAACCGATCTGTACAAGATCAAACGCACTGTCTAAACCAATCTCCGCCTAATGCTGGCGATACAATCTGTTCGCGCTCCGCGGGCATCAGAACCAATCTCCACACGACACAGCTCTGTCTAAACAGCCTGTTTCATTCTCAGTCACTCAATTCGAAACAGGTGCTGGACGATCCGACTCCTTCTTAACCAACCCCCAAATCGCAATTATCTAGCCTCATATCGGAGGCCCCTTGACCCGAATCAATTATCAAGTTAGCAGGTAAATGAACTCTGGAGATAAATACAATACTTCTCCTCTATACTCGACACAAGAGCAGCAAGTCAAACCTCCGATAACTTACAGATTGTCACGGCAATTAAGTCTGTTACATTAAACACATGTACCATTGTGACCGCCCTCGCGATAGAAATGATGGTTGAACCGTCCTCTTGAAAGGACTTTGACTGGTATGATTTAAAATGCTGCTTGAAGAATGTAAATAAAGTGTCTTAAATAAATAAATAAATAAATAAATAAATAAATAAATAAATAAATAAATAAATAAATAAATAAATAAATAAATAAATAAATAAATAAATAAATAAATAAATAAATAAATAAAATAGGAAACATAAGAGATTTGGTTTAGTTGATGAGTGTGTGGTTATTCTGTACATGATGGATTTTCAGCGGCTTTGATTGAATAGTTCTTATTAATACCGAATGACTTGACCGGGAGGTGCGAAACCGGATCAACTAGAAGCGCAAGTAAAATGTTCAACAGATGATGTCACATAGCTGTCGATTAACAGTTTTCCGAATTGACTAGATCGATATCACCAAAGCAAACCCAGATAATGTTTCCCAACACCGAGTGTTGAAAAGGAGGAGCGTAAATGAAATAAATCTTTAAGAAGACTTTAACCCTGCATATGCTTCTCATTTCAGGCATAACGCATTGTCCTAATTTTTCCAAAACTAAATTCTCAGCTACTTACATCTTTGTTTATTAGTTGTTTAACGCCGCACCTTGCAATATTATAGCCATATCATAGCGGTTTGTGAATACTCCATTGATCCAGCATCGATCTACGCTATTGGAATTACTTTAAAACTGAACAGTGATCTATCAACAAAAACAAATAAAATAAAATTAAAACAAGAGGTGTTGTTATAAAATAATTTATTCATACATTGGTTCCAACGAATGTACACACCTAAGTATCTTCTGTCACGTGTCAGAGCACATCAGGGAGAGTTCACTCCCTTCATCGCCCCGTTTATATGAACACATGTCAGTTATCCAGACAGTCCTTCTGTGTACACACATCGAGGTGAATGTTTCCCTTATCACGAGGAACATATATTAATATTTGTGCAAACGATTTCAAATGAGCAAACTTGACAAGGAGAATTCTTAATAAAACAAGCACGCATTCGAGCTTCTAGCATTAGCGCAGAGTTAGCACAGACGGTGGGGTCTTATACAGTTGTTCCCCATTTGTTTCGACAGAAATGAAACTCTAAAATCTTACAGCGTACAGTTTGTACGTAATTCACTTGTGGGTTTGAAATCATTTGAAGGTCATGGCGTCAGTGTACATGATTAATGCTAATTCACGTCGGATGAGCATACACAGTGTCTGTCTGAATTTTATGCTACGCTACTTCGAATATTCCGTTTAAGTAATGGATTTGACACAAGACAAAACACTGGAGCCGATCTGATCATGTAGCTACTGCAATGATAACTACAATTATAACTGCGGTACAGTGTTAGACAGTGTCAGACAGTGTCTTGCAGACTAACACGTGGGTATGTCACTGCTGAATGAGTCAGCTGGCTTTAACGCTGCTTAAAACACTATTTCAGTTACTGCTAACGTGTCAGCTTAAACAGATGTGACGTAGTTCACAGAAGTTCACAGAAGTGACGTAGTTCACAGATCTGACGTAGTTCACAGACGTTCACAACTTCCGTGAAACCATGGGTACGGTTTAACAACTGGTCAACCGAACTCACGACCACCGGATCTAGAACTAACACCCGGGTCCTTTTGTGTCACTTGTAATCGAAAGTACTTTCGTAATACCAAACTTCGGCTAAATTTCCGATTGTATAAAACATTACTAATAGCTTTTTTAAATTGACACGCGTCCTAACATGGCAGAACACTTTAGATGTATTCTATGCCATCATTGACTGATTGTCTTTTAGTCAGGTAAACGTCTATGTATTATATACACCGTCGTATCAATTCACAAAATAACATGACAAAACATCAAAACAAAGCAAAATAACACCACCAAAAGACTTGAGCAAGATAATACAAACTTAGATTAAAACCTGATTAAGTCTTAAAAATATATTATTGCACTGTAAAACCGTCCATAACTCCACGGTGTACACAACTGTTTCTAAGCAAAAGTAAATATACCACTGATAATATTTCAACCTATTCCGAATTGCCAAAATGGACCTAACGGATGTCATGGAACGGCCGAATATGTTTGCTTCATCAAAGGGTCAGGCATACACGTACAGTTCGTGTTTTGAATTTAATACAATTTAATCAAATTTTGAATGCAATTACTGTTTTACAGCGCATGGTTAACGTTTCATCCACACTACAAATAAACCCAAAAAGTGTGTTACATTTTTAGAATGCAAAGAAAACGAAGTACATATTTCAAAGTGTGATAGATGAACAATAATCAAACGACATATCAAAGTTCACACAGAGAACAAAATTGCTGAGAAAAAAAGTACAATTCATGTCATGTGACAAAATTCTGACCGAAGGCACGGGCGTAAGGCATTACAAGGCAACGTGGAAAATAATGATTTTAAAAAAAAATCCAATGCATTACACAGAAACCTTTAATGCTACGTAATTCTAAGCTTGTCGTAGAATATCTGGTGATTGGGATATATTTGATATAAATGCATCATACACATAGCTGACCATGAACCATCATATTTAGTGGAACATTTTAACCATTTACTGATCAGTTCGTTATGACAGGCAGCCTATTGATTTCTTCTGTATGAAAACGATCTCTGGGCATTCAATATTCTTGTGGTCCCTAAAACCCTTCTATTTTACTGGATGAAATTTTACCATAAAAATCTGTCCATATATTATATATTAGCTTCTGACTCAAATATGCACCGGTCCATCGAATACACCATCGTTCTAGGCACTGTATGAATATATAATGAATGTCTACTATTTCTTACGGTTGTGATATTTTGATGTCTCAAATAGGACCACTGACAAACATTTTGGTCAAGTAGCACATTTCATGTGCATCTTTTTTCCAGAACTGTCATTTCGTTATTACAGGTATTCACTAAGAACAAACGGAGAGAGTGATCTCCCTTGGAGACTGGCAATGGGAAGGGAGGTAACTCTCACGTTTTGGGTTTCTATAAATATAGAAATCCCTGAGAAATGGTACATGACATGCTTTTAGAACATGCGCGACAGAATGCATGAGAGGAGAGCGAGAAGGGAGAGTGACAAATGGACTGAGGGACGGGCACCAGCGTTAGGGTTGAAGTTAGCATACAGCTTTCGGCTTCCCATTGCTTGCACGGGTCGGTAGTTGTTGAACATGTTGTGGTTTCCATCGTCGTTCTGTTCCTCAGATTGTAGAGTTCGGAAAACATCCATCTACAAAAAAGCATCTTGAATTCAGTTTTTAAAATTGATTTATCTTCAATAAATACAATTATTTGTTTTTTATCTCCGCAGTTTCAGATGTATTACGTAATTCCAATCACGCAATTGATGTTATGACATCAATCCAACACAGGGGCGGTGGGGTAGCCTAGTGGTTAAAGCGTTCGCTCGTCATGCCGTAGACCCGGGTTCGATTCCCCATATGGGTACAATGTGTGAAGCCCATTTCTGGTGTAGCTCGCCGTGATATTGCTGAAATATTGCTAAAAGCGGTGTAAAACTCAACTCACTCACTCACTCACTCACTTATACTAATGGCTCGACCCTAGGTGTGCAGCCAGTAGCGGAAATACACCCTTTAATATCGATGGATGTGTTTCATTGATATAGGTGGAAATAATGTTACCGTTAACATAACTCTTTCCGAGTTAAAAATGCTGATCCTCTATTTTAACGACTGATTTAATTTTATTCATGCCACCAGGTCTTTGGAAAGGTTTGTTTTACAGAACGACCTTGCTGTCTACATCCAATCGGAATTAATGTAATTTGACAATAGCTCTACACTTTGGCATATGGTATTAATTTAGAGTCGTAAATTACCTGTGTGGATGTGATTTTGATTGTCTGGGGGAAGACGGACCATGTGACGACCTCGTTACAGGTTGGGGTGGTCAGGCTCCCAGAGTAGCGGTAGAACTCGGAAAAGGACGATGGAAGAAGTTCATTGAGATTGAATGCAGTCACAGTGGTATTGGAACCTGTGAAATAGAAATATTGTCATGAATAACATCATCATCGCCATCGCCATCACCATCATCATCATCATCATCATCATCATCATCATCATCATCATCAGCGCCATCAGAGGCATCTGAAGCATTGTTGCCCTACATTGTTACTGGGTGATTGAGTAGCCTTTGCTTCCGTGTCCGGGTTCGAATCCCTTCACTGGCACATTGTGTACATCAAATTGCTCCATAACATTCCCAGTAAACCAATACACAGATTTGCTATTGTTACCATCACATAATCTTTTACAGTTCGAGTCACCCACTCCATGGGTTGTGTGAATCCAGACGCAAAATCTGAGATAGCCTAGAGACTTCTGTTGAAGATAAACACTACCTAGTGTATCTGTCATTCTTGGAATTGTTTCTGTCACAAGGGCACGTAACGCAAACCCATGCTTGTCGTAAGAGGCGACTGACGGGATCGAGTGGTCAGGCTCGCTGACTGGGTTGAGACATGTCATCGCATCCCATTTGCGTAGATCGATGCTCATGCTGTTGATCACTGGATTGTCTGGTCCAGAGTCGATTATTTACAGACCGCCGCCATATGGCTGGAATATTGCTGAGTGCGGCGTAAATCTCAACTCACTCCCTCACTGTTTGGGCTGACAATAGACACATGGAATCCTTGATGCTTCATGTTTACCTGAGACAGTGATGCTTGATAGGGCATCGACGATCTTCTGGATGCCAGGGTGGCTGGTGTCACCGATCTGCAATAGGTACAATATAGTCTCAAGTCACATCCTCACTTTCATCAGTATAAATATTGTTCATTATTGGTTCTTGCCTCGTCAGCACAAAATATTGGACAGATTACACTGGGATGCTTTGTATGAGAGAGAAATAATTCGTCTTGAAATAATCCACTACCATTGATGAGGAATAATCGGTTATAACGAATTGTTGGTTGTAACGAAGTTAAAGAATGACGATAAACGTTTATATTTATGGAAAGTGTCGAACTTCGGAATTAACGAACTGTGGTACTACATCCGGAGTAGATTACCTTTGCCGACCTGCTGCTATAATCGTCTTGGGCGCCGTTGTACAAAACAACCTTAGTTCTACGACAGCTGAAAGTCTACGTTAATGTATGGGAGTTACGATCACTTTAGATTGTGATCGCTATGTGCTAGGGCACCCTGGTCATAACGCTCTCCTTCAATGGATACGTTACCTGTCGAGTTGATATGTCTCTGCGGTATGGACAATGGCAATGGGGATGTATTTTACTGTGAAATATAGATAAACAAGATATACTTTTTACCTCGAAGAAGAATCCGAGAACGGCAAGACCGTCGCTGTGTCCTGCTGCGTCGGAGACACTGGCGTAGCTGGACTTGTAGTTGACGATGTGCATCTGGAGACGATCAAGAGTAATGTCAATTAATAAATAATCTTTACGATATGCACCACGATGGTAATCTCAAGATACGACACATATAACGATATTTGCCCCAATGTTCGATACACATGGCGATATTTGCCCCAATGTTCGATACAGATGGCGATATTTGCCCCAATGTTCGATACACATATAACGATATTTTTACCCCAATGTTCCATACACTTAGCGATATTTGCCCCAATGTTCGATACACATGGCGATATTTGCCCCAATGTTCGATACCCATTTAACGATATTTGCCCCAATGTTCCATTCCAATATAACGATATTTGCCCCAATGTTCCATACCAATATAACGATATTTGCCCCAATGTTCTATACCTATATAACGATATTTGCCCTAATGTTCGATACCCATATAACGATATTTGCCCCAATGTTCGATATACATATAATGTTATTTGCCCCAATGTTCGATACCCATATAACGATATTTGCCCTAATATTTGATACCCATATAACGATATTCCCCCCAATGTTTGTATCTACATGGCGATATTTGCCCCAATGTTCGATACACATTTCGATATTTGCCCCAATGTTCGATACACATATAACGATACTTGCCCCAATGTTCGATGCACATGGCGATATTTGCCCCAATGTTCGATATACATGTAACGATATTTGCCCCAATGTTCGATATACATATAACGATATTTACTCCAATGTTCGATTAACATGACGATATTTAAGCCAATGTTCGATACAAATGGCAATATTAACCCCAATCTTCGATACACGTTAACGTTAACTGCTGTACAGACGGTGGGTAGCCCAACTGTAACGGTGTTAGCCAGAAACCAACCTCCATTGGAAATCGTGTCCCATCCACGGTGTGTTCAGATCCCTCGGCATCGGTTTTACCCCAGTGAAAGTGGAGTTGGGCAGTGTTATAGTCGCCGGTCAGACCACCCCCCGGACACTTTGACCGCTGCCCCAGCAATATTCAACTGAGCTGAAAAACGAGACAGGACAGGTGAGAATAAACTGACATTACTCTTGAAGGAACTGAGTTTTTATAGTAACACCAGTAAATATATCTCACTAATCGAGAGTTGGAGTGTATAGAAGAAAATAAAAACACAACGAATATTGTGTGAGGGTGAGTGAGTGAGTCAATTTAGTTTTACGCCGCACTCGGCAATGTTCCAGCTATATGGAGGCGGTCTGTAAATAATCGAGTCTGGACCAGACAATCCAGTGATCAACAGCATGAGCATCGATCTACGCAAATGGGATACGATGACATGTCTAAACCAAGTCAGCGAGCCTGACCACTCGATCCCGTCAGTCGCCTCTTATGACCAGCATGGGTTTGCGTTATGTGCGCTTGTGACTTTCCAGTGATCAACAGCATGAGCATCGATATACACAATTGGGAACCGATGACATGTGTCAACCACGTCAGCAAGCCTGACCACCTGATCCTGTTAGTTGCCTCTTACGACAAGCATGGGTTACTGAAGATGAATTCTAGCCCTGATCTTCACGGGTTCCAAAAAGGTGAGTCTTGAAGGTTTTTTGTCAATGCACTTCGAGGACGGTTCGGTGCTAACGCTATCAACCATTGGTTTGTTTTCTCATTGCAGTGTATTAGCTAATTTAACAAGAAGACAAAGTAATCAATATCCCCCGCAATGGCAAAATACTCTTCATGATTATGTCTACGAGTTATGATCATGTCAAATATGTTGGTGTGTATATAGAAAAGTGGAAGGAGAGTATTGAAAGGTTTTTAAAGTTCTGCTCCAGAAAGGAGCACTATCACAAATTTCAGTCTATGTCAAACTTGCCATGGAAATGCCAAAAATATTTTATTCAGAAATCCAAAACTACCAAAAGGCACCAGTACACCACCAGATCTATGTATGTGCCAAGTTTGGTGAAGAAATATTGAACGGTTTTAGAGTTCTACTCCGGAAAAGACAAATGTGCACGGACGGACGAACGGACGCACGGACGGAGTCCATTTTAATACCGGAGTCCATTTTTATACAAGAAGCCCTGTATCAGCAATATCCTCACCTGTGTGGCCATTGTTGACAATGTTGAGAGACAGTCCTGTAGTGGTGTCAAATTTGGTCAGAGTGAAGGCGTCCATGGACGACATCAGGGTGTCAGTGGGGATAATGTTTATGGGAGACTGACTTGACATTCCGCATGTTGCGCTGACGTCGGCCCAGTGACTGGGGCCTACAGAGAAAACAGATCATGGCGTGAAGTGAATGAGACACTTTAATCGCGGAACAGTAATATTTCTTTTAACGAAAATCCGCATAAAACACAGATATTTGACCTGCAGTATACACGCTTAGGGGTTTCTAAAGACATGGTTACTATTAGCTTATATTTCCACAAGATGACATCCTTGAATATTGACAAAAACGCTCGGAAGCGATCGTGCGGAACATAGCATTCAGAATCGTTCGAGTTTTTTAGGTAAAGGTTCAAACGATATGTGCGAATGTTAACTTTCGCGATTTGGTAAGCTGTGTTCTGATTGTTCAGTCCAAAAGGTTAGCTGATGCGACCTTCTACTATGGTTTGTTAGACTGTGTATAGCAGTGTCAGAAAAATACTGAGCCTAAGCTTACTTAGACTGATGGAAATCACGATCATTGGATTTTGGCCTCTCTAAGGAACACAACTCGACAAAGCAAGAAGCCTGACCGGCCGTTAGCCCAATGTATGAAGGCCCAATGGGGTCACAATACAGTTCCGTTTTTATACAGGTTGTACCCATGATAACTTAAACACAAGCATTGAGATTATTAAATAATTCAAATTTGAATAAATCTTAAAAGCATACTTACCGTCAGAGCCGAAATAACCCCATGATGAGGCTCCTGCAAAGAACAAGAAGTGAATAAGTGCAATGATATTATATTGAAGAAATCATAAGTATATCGCCCAATCTTAGCATTTTGAAATATTACCTATTCTGCCCATCTCACTGATTCTAATTCCAATCACTTGTCACGGCGATACAATGTATGAACAATTCGAGAAGTTTCGCGGCCATTTTGAGTTTTTGATTTGCTGACATGTCTTTTTTTTGTTTATTTCGCCAAGTGAAATGAGCAGTCAGGGACATGTAACTTAACAGTTTTAGCGTCCGCTCGTCACTCGAGAAGTCAGAGTGCATTGCAAATTTCTATGTTTGTGTCATAAACTGAACAATGGCACATATTATCTGCTCTAGTACAAGTTAAATCCTTACAGATTATTAGATATAGAATATTTTCAATGTTTCTACTGTGACCGTTAGCGCAATAGATATCTTGTGTCTTACAACGTGGAAAATATGTCCCTAACGGAGCTCCGTAATGTAAGCTCCGTTCCTCTGCAGCTGGGAATATTTCGCGCGATGCATAACGTTTACGTTGCGCAGTTGTTTACGAAATATTCTTTACTCCTCTAAAACGATTCCATCCTTACACCAACGTCAACCAGGCTAGCCTTTCTCACGGCCCCTTAGACAAATGTTTAGTCTCTGAATATATAAAAATTTAAAAGTAACAAATAAACCCATTTATAATGAAAAAGAGGCCCAGTGTGATGGGAGATTCAGAACCTGAACCTGAGGAGTGAGTGAGTGAGTTTAGTTTACTCCGTTCTCAGCAATATTCCAGCTATATGACGGCGGTCCGTAAATAGTCGAGTCTGGACCAGACAACCCAGCGATCAACAGCATGAGCATCTACGCAATTGAGGTACGATGACATGTGTCAACCAAGTCAGCGAACCTGACCACCCGATCCCGTTAGCCGCCTCTTACGACAAGCATGGGTTACTGAAGATCAATTCTAACCCGGATCCCCACGGGTCTGAACCTGAGGACATATAGACTTGCTTCATTTAGAGCTTCCGCCTTGTAGGAACAGACAAGCAGCCCCTTAATAATTTCCATTAAGTCCCAAAATGTAGCAAGTGTAGATTTCCCCGGTCCCAGATCTTATTCTCCCGTCACTGTAGGGCTCCTTATATACTAAAACAAAGTTTCTCTATTAAGTGCCATTTAGAAGCTGGTGTGATGAAGAGGAACACTTATGGATAGACAACTTCTTTACCGCAATAAATGCGACGCATCGGTGTAGATGCTAACAATTTGTTTGTTTTATTGATATTATGTATAACAAGAGTGTGAGACATACTTTCTTCAATGACGACTTTATGTGGAAAGAAGGCGCCAATTCCATGTCAGTTTCTGTAGTCATGATAACCCCGGCTGACAGGGGGGCACGCTGCTGCTTAGAGATATCTCCCGTTAAATATACCCCCCATGAGACAAATGAATACGTTTGTTTCATATACAGTCTCAACTGTTTGTCTTATGTAATCATGCGAAGTCTGGCTTAACATCCTCTTGTTATAACGGCACAGACTGACGTCAAACTGAGGGGCTTAATGGGGGTGTTACATGTCAGTAGGCATTACTTGTTTCGACCTAGTCCCTCCCCAAAACCCCTTCCTTTAAAAATATGAAATAGATGAAAAATCAAACAAACCTATAAAAACCTATTAAAAATATTTTTTTTAGAAAATTAAAAAAATAATAACAAAATATTAATTTAATTTTTTTAGATAAAAATAATAGACTCAGGCAATGTTTACGAGAGTTCCTTAGTTATGCTAAGCAGTATACCCCTTCAGTACCCTCCTTTACGTACCAACGAAGGAATAATAAGTCTGTTTGTAAATGTGCAGCCAGCGTATAGCCTGCTGGCTGACATTAGAGATGTTCCGTTGTGGGAACGGTACAAGTGATATACAGACGCAGACATAAACTAGGGGACCTTCATTTGACATTCTAAGGAAGGGGGCGAGTGGTTGGGGGAGGGGCGATTGGCGTGTGCATTACGCATTGTGCACTTTACAGATGTCTAGAGCATCTAGCATTGTGCCCCACCCAGTAGCTCGGTCATAGTGACATTGTGCAGTAACCACCTTCGAATTATATTAATGTATATACTGATTACGTTTATAACGAACTCTCATTACGAACTGGCAGATATAACGAACACATTTTTCTGGTCCCGCTCACATGCTGTATATTTTACTCGAAATGTGTATAACGAACTACGGTTATGTCGAACTGAAATTAGTGGTCACTTGCAGTACATTTTAGTCGAAATGTCTATAACGAATTACGGTTAGTAGTAATTTGAGTTCGTCTTAACCGTAGTTTATTGAATACGTGGTTCGTGACTGCAGAATGTTTATTACATTTTCTGTACAGATGTTACTAGTTGTGGGGAATATTTAAACAAGCAGTTTCTTGTAGTGGTGGTCTGATTAATTGAAATAATCGAAGGTTGGTCGCAGTGACTAAACGACCAAGCAATCGATCATGTTTTCTCATAATCGAACACAAACAATTCTGGAACACTTGTTTACATTAACAATATTTTTCAAAAGGTTGGTTTTGTTTGTTACATTTGATGACCACTACAAGCTTGTTCCAAGTCATGGTTGAATTTATCTTCAAGACTCCAAGAAATTAAAGTTCCTAACCTACTAGTCATCCTTTAAAGATGTGAAATTTGCCAATGCCTTTTGTGCAATTTGCAAAAACACCAAAGAACTACAGGGTTTTGTCTTTATTTTTTTAGTTCATTAACAAAATAATCATGAAAATTTCATAAATGACGCTTACCAATTATTTTCGATGATTGATCGGTTGTAATGAACCAATCATCAATTGTGAGATTTTGACCAATTCCCAGCACTAGTTTCTTGACTATTAGTTGGCTTGTTGTTTATCGCCGCACTCAGCAGTATTCCAGCTATATGGCACCGGTCTGTAAATGATCGAGTCTGGACCAAAACATCCACTGATCAACAGCATGAGCATCGATATTAACTGACCCTTCCCTATAAGTAACTTCGGGGAAATATATATTGTATAAATCAGATTTATCTGAAGGCATGTCAAACCTGTCCCATGCATACTAGTATTACCGTGTCTACCACTATGAGCTTTAACGACACAGTCCCCATCAATAGCTCTAATTAAACACCTATTAATAGATGTTTTTCAAGGTTAATTGTTCGTTTCATTGTAAATTCAAGTCGCAAAGCTCCCAAACGGAACCAGGTGTTTATGTATATATCTTGTTTATAAACACATGTCAATTATGCGTCTTTAATTTTGAGAGTAATCAATTTCATGAAGCCAGTGTTATTCGGCCGCGTCAGTTAACATTAACAAATATCTATCGTCAAGAGATCTAAGGAAAAAATTCTCTTTAACCGGGGTCGATTTCACAGAGTTTGGAAGTGGCTTTTTGTCATCAGTGAAACTGGCTAAATATATCTGATGGGTTTTTCAAGTAGTGCAGATAAGGTGACCCGCCATATTGGAAGCAACTGTCATCAATGATATATATAAGCTGTCAAAAGTACACTGGTGAATGTTCTTTGCATAGCAAGGATGTAGATAGATTGCACCGCGCATTCGTGGTAAAAAATACATAAAAACATACACATGAATTAATTTGTGAATTGAGAGTGCTGACGATGAAATTTATTCATCAGTGAGAGTGATGACTTTAAATTTGCTTTGAACATGCTTTCTGTGGCACGATCCATTCGTAGGATTATGTCATTCGTAAGCCTATGATAAGCTTTAGTTACGACACCCGTAACGTTACGAACGCTCTGTAGATCGGGACCTAGTTATATCAGCTTAATGTGGGAGAAAACCCCTAAGTTACGCAGATCTTTCACATTTCCCGCTTTGTTGAAACCCACCAGCAGGCCATGGTTTCTGGGGCCCAATCCACAAAGCGTTCGTAACGTTACGACCTGTCGTAATTCGGTACTGTTTCATTGGATTACGAATGACGTAATGCTACGAACGTTTTGAGCATAAGGTCCCATCGTACCAATGGAACAGGGACGCTGCCCACAAAGCTTTCGTAGCGTTACGACCTGTCGTAACTCTATACCATATCATTGGCTTACAAATCACGTAATGTTACGAACGCTTTGTGCACAAGGTCCAGGCGTGCCTATGAAACAGGGCTAAATCCACAAAGCGTTCATAGCGTTACAACCCTATCGTAACTCTTTACTATATCATCTGCTTACGAATGGCGCAGTGTATAGGGTGTTTGGATTCAAGGCTAGCTATTCTCGAAACGTTCGTAGCCCTACGAACTTCTTAAGCCCATTGTTAACACATTAGCTAAGAGTTAAGTTAAGAATTCTTAGGGCTACGAACGTTTCGAGAATAAGGGCCCCGGGTTCCGATCCACAAAACGTTCGTAGCGCTACGACAGGTCTATGATAAACTGCACGTATGTTTTACATGAAATTCAGATCTTTTTCAAACAACGAATTATTAAGAATGGAATAACGGAGCTCTTGATTAGTGATTACCATTTCTTCTCTGTAAATGAAATCTTTGATGAAGATTAGTCACTGTAAACCGAACTGTATTTGGAATCTAAGCTTGCAACATGGAGGGACCTTGGGATAAGTTGCTGACGAAGGTGTTTAAGACCTCTGCAGTCACACAATGACAAAATTCAATAGCATGGAGTTGAACCCCCGGTCATCGCCAGTGGAGCTTGACCCGGGCTTGTTCAAGATCAACGAGACATGTGACATGTGAATACAGCATTGATACCCAGGTAACTTTCTTGTTACTAAATACACCCTCATTGTGAGATTTAGGCTGTGGGCAAATGAACGTTTACCGGTTTGGCCACTATCCCACAGCAAGCTCTCAGCTGGAAAGTATCGGAGGTTAACAGAGGGTAACTGACTGACATTTCAATCAGAAGGCACTATAAGCCAGACCATTTACTTCTTTATCTTTTGTATACATTCTGAATAGATT